TTATTATTATTATTATTATTATTATTATTATCTGCAGGGCCTCCTTTCTCTTTACCCTACTCAGATGTCTCTCAGGGAATACTTCAGAAGATATCTGAAGCCGCTAACTTGGTAACCCCCCCAAAAAAAATAAATTGTGAAGATTATTCTGTCAGCGTTAATGGCAATTGGGCTGTCTTGCAGATTGGACTTTTAATGGATGTTTTGGGGGTTGGGGTTTGTTTTTTTTTGTGTGTGTATACTGTGCGAGATTCGATGGCAATCCTTTGCTTCAACTGTTTTTTTAAAATAATTGTAAACTGGCCAGAATCTGAAATCATGTGGTGTACAGATTGATGCATAAATAAATGAGTCATTGAGATTAGACTGAGAAGTATTTGTAATAGTGGACTGGTTTCAAATAAAGCTTATGATAAGATGAATCGGGAATGGGTAAAGAACCCCGGCTGCAACAACTGTAAACAGGATTTATGAAAACTCAAAAAGTTATGGTTTCTTACTTAAAAAAAACCTCCATGTAAATTACATTAAGAAATGTTTGCTGTAGAAAATCTAATTATTAAAGACGGCTTTACTTTAGATTTAACCGAAAGTATGGTTGGCTTTTTTTTTTTTTTAAAAAAAAATGGGTTACAGTACATGCATGTTTGAAAAAGAACAACTGGAATAATTCAACCTCAGGAGACAAAAATAATGCTTACCATTGTCTTAGTCTACTAAATAATGAAAAAGATTTTTCCTCTTTGTTTTTATGTTCTGAACACTTTGTTCAGATTTCAGAGCAGCTGTTTTTCCATGCTCAATGCTGCAACCTTGTGATTCACTGATGTGATGAAAGATGAATTACAAGGATTATCCCAATCTTAAAATCTTGTTGACCTTCTAACTCTACTTCAAAAGCCAGAATATGTAAGGTAGACCTATAGTTTTGGGATTACGTGTGCCAATTTCTTTATTTGTGATCAGAATGTAGCAACGTTTTTTGGACTACTGACCAAGCCCCAAATATTAGAAAATAATATCCAGTAATTACATTTTTTCTTAACATTTTTCCACAAGTACAGGTTACTTTCCCCCCCCCCCAATCAGCCAAGGGTTTGTCCATTGGTTGTGACAGGAATTGTCTGACTGAGTCTGAGCCTGACATGGTGAGCTGAGAAACTGACTAGTCCAGAATCACCCAGTCAGTTTTCATGCCGAAAGCAGAACTAGAACTCACAGTCTCCTGGTTTCTAGCCTTGTGCTTTAACTACTAAATCAAGCTGCTTCTCATCCAGAAATTTCCTGATAGTTAGAACAATTAACCAGTGGAATGATATGCCTCCAGAAGTTGTGGGTGCTCCAACCCTGGAAGTTTTTAAGAAGAGATTGGACAACCATTTGTCTGAAATTGTATGCGATTTCCTGCCTGAGCAGGGGGTTGGACTAGAAGACCTCTAAGCTCCCTTCCAGCTCTGTTATTCTGTTAATTACAAAATCATAGTGGAAAAATAATACTGGCCCCACTTTCTCATATCTTTCACCTCCTCTGGGCTGTTTGCGCTTGCATGTTGTTCCTACTGATATTTTGGGAATAGGCTTTTGTCTAAAAAGAATACAAATTAAGACGGATTGGCAAAGATTGCCCATCCTGGATTAGATAATACTTTGCTGCATTGGCCAGTTGTCCAGCTGGGTGTAAGTCAATCTCTGGGTGCCTAAGTTATCCATGGCTTTTCCCCATCTCTTCTCCACATCTTTAAGTGGCAAGGGAGCTCTAATCCTAACCAAACCTGGGAAGATCAGGATTATTGGCCAGGAATGCATCCTTTTGAAATGAATTGCTGCAGATGATTGCAAGTATATTGTGTTTGCAGGGTTCGTGAAGATGGAATAATTGGAATTATGAATATGGAATAACCGACTCCTAACGACTTCAGGTATTCCTCCTTCACCATCTCTTGTTAATATATTTAAAACTGCTAATGCTGAACTTTCTGTTCTTTTACTTTTGCAGAGCAAAGCTGTTGGAGTAATGGCCAAAGTCAGTAGAGTAAAGACAGCTGCCAAGCTAATTCCAAGCAAAATGTGAGAGGGATGTCAATTTCTCTCAGAATATTTGGATCCCATACTATCCTCCACAAGGACATTTCCAAATTGAACTAAATTGGGTCTCCTCCAAAGTCCAACTACTATTAGGACGTATATCTTGACGGACACCAAGTTAGAGAAAGTAACACCACTCTTCTGAGTCCTTGCCAAGCTGACCTCCGATTACGTTCAAAGGAGATGATTGTGTAAAAAAAAAAATCCCAACCAGAAATATCTTGGAAGGAGGCGAACGTGAAACAATTAGGTTTCACAGATACTTTGGCCTGGAGGCCTCCCATTTAGTCACATTTCACTGCCTTTACGACATCTGATCAACTTCTGGCTCTTGAGCTACAGAACAATCGCTCCACTGTTCCTTCTCCTGCAATGCTCTACAGTGAAATGGAGAAAAGTAATAACCATAGTAGGATGTCGGTTCCATGTTTTCATTCTGATGTTAGCGATGCACTTTCAGTTCTCCTTATCCTTCCACGGGCAAGTTTTGTGGTCTGCGAAGTTGGGTGGGGATATATTTCTTCAGGTGACAGGAAGAGAATGTTTTCAATACTCCCTCAGAGGGGTATCTTCAGCCCATAGAAATCTACCCTACTTTTCATGGCCATAGTTGTCACTTTCAGAGAATCATAGGGCTGGAAGAGACCCTGGAGGTCTTCTACTCCACCCCTCCTGTCCAAGACAGGAGTCCTTCTACCATCCTGGACAAATAGTTGTCCAATCTTTTCTTGAAAACCTCCCACGACGGAGCACCCACAACTCCAGTTCCATTGATTAATCATTGCCAGGAAATTCCTCCCTAGTTCCAGATTGGATCTTCCCTCTGATGGGTTTTCACCCATTGCTTCTTGTCCTGGTCTCAGATGCAATGGAGAATAAATCAGAATGACAGAATAAGAAAGTTGGAAGGGATCTTGGAGGTCTTCTAGTCCAACCCCTTTGCACAAGCAGGAGACCCTATACCATTTCAGACAAAAGGTTGTCCAGTCTCTCCTTAAAAACCTCTAGTATTGGAGCACCCACAACTTCTGGAGGCAAGTCGTTTAACTGATTAATTGTTCTAACTGTCAGGAAGTTTCTCCTTAGTTCTAGGTTGCTTCTCTCCTTGATTAGTTTCCATCCGTTGCTTCTTGTCCTACCTTCAGGTGCTTTGGAGAATAGCTTGACTCCTTCTTCTTTGTGGCAGTCCCTCAAATATCGGAACACTGCTATCATGCCATCCCTAATCAATGCCCTCTTCCCTGTGACAACCCTTTAAGTAGTGGAAGACATCCATTAGGTCTCCCCTAAGCCTTCTACTAGGTGAGACATACATTTCCTTTTTGCTGGACTGTACCATTTCAAACTATAGGTCACAGAAGCAGCAGCAACTTGCAACTTGCCAGGTTAGATGGCCAGTTCTCTGATAAGGACCATTGGCATCCCTACTATTCAATTGCCTTTATGACATCTGATCAACTTCTGACTGTTGAACTAGAGAACGATAACTAACAGTAACTTGACATCAGGGATAAGATCTGGAATTTTCTGTGGCTACTACATGGATGGTACCAATTTCTATGGACTCTTCCTGGTTGCATCCCAAGCAGATGCATCTTTTTACATCATGCATGTTCTACCATTACCAACCTTATGTTTGAGCTCCTGTTGACTTCATCTCACTGATCAATCAAGTGAAGCTGGATTTGAAAGGAAGAGTGTCATAGCAATATGATAAACCCAATCGAATAGCAATGGTAAGTTACAAGTGGATGAGTAAAATAAATAAATACCTTATAGACATTAATGGGCAAAGCAATGAGGATGTAGAAGAGGTCTCCAAGAGCAAGGCTGGCAATGAGGACGTTGGGTCCGTTTCTCATGCACTTATTCTTATAGATGATCCTTAGCAGGGTGGAATTTCCAATGATACCCACCATGAAGATTGTACAAGAGACAAATGTGTTGATGTACTTGAAGGCTTCCCGGATTTCTGTTGGCTTCGTACACATGACTGGTAGTGGAGCTTGTGGGATGGCATCCCCAGGAAAGTCCTTTGACTTGTTGGAGGGGATTCTATGATCTGGGAAGATGCCTGCTTGGATAATTTTGAAAGTTGGATCATCTCCCAGAATCTCCAAAGCTATGGTGCTGTCTTTGAAGCTGTTGGCTGTCTGGCTGGAGACACTCAAGATCAGGCAGGAGGCTAACACCAGAGCAGTGAGATGTCTACCCATGGGGAAGCCAATTTCAAAAACCCACACAGTTTTGTGTGTGTTGAGCATTGCAGTGTTAACAATGTCTCCTAAGATGTCTTATTCTCATCTGCAGGTGGAAGACACTAGCAAAGAATCTGGATAACGAGAGAAAATAAAAAAGTGATATTAATATAAGCAAGATTTTCTTTTCATTTGATTATTGTTCACAGAGGATAAGGATAAGCAACCCACACAGCCCGTGGGTCTTATATACTCCCTGGTTGTTTGAGTGGATCTCAGAGCCTCTTCTACAATTGCCATAGAAATTTGCCAGTAAAATTGATGAACTAAACCCTTGGGATGCAGATGAATAGGTATCTGCTTCTGTAGCTTTCTTTTCTGCTCCATATAGTCAATGGAACTCAACTTTCCATGAACTCTCACAGTTTTTGGACATGGGCATCATCATCATCATCATCATCAAGTTGGAAGGGACTTTGGAGGTCCTCTAGTTCAACCCCATGCTCAGGCAGGAAACCCTATACCAGGGGTAGGCAACCTTGGCTCTTTTATGACTCGTGGACTTCAACTCCCAGAATTCCTGAACCAGCCATGATGGCTCAGGAATTTTGGGAGTTGAAGTCCACGAGTCATAAAAGAGCCAGGGTTGCCTACCCCTGCCCTATACCATTTCAGACAAATGGCTGTCCAGTCTCTTCTTAAAAACTTCCAGTGTTGGAGCATTCACTGCTTCTGGAGGCAGGTTGTTCCACTGGTTAATTGTTCCAACTGTCAGGAAGTTTCTCCTTAGTTCTAGGTTGCTTCTCTCCTTGATTAGTTTCTATCCATTGCTTCTTGTCCTGCCCTCAGGCGTTTTGGAGAATAGCTTGACTCCCTCTTCTTTGTGGCAGCCCCTGAGATATTGGAAGACTGCTATCATGTCCCCCCTCGTCCTTCTCTTCATTAAACTAGACATACCCAATTCCAGCAACCGTTTCTTATATGTTTTAGCCTCCAGTCCCCTAATCATCTTTGTTGCTCTTCTCTGCACTCTTTCTAGAGTCTCAACATCTTTTTTACATCGTGGTGACCAAAACTGGATGCAGTATTCCAAGTGTGGCCTTACCAAGGCATTGTAAAGTGGTATTAACGCTTCACGTGATCTTGATTCTATTCCTCTGTTAGTGCCTGTTAGTCCCTCTGTTAGCTTCTAGAGGACTAGAAGTCAGCTCAAAAAAATAGAACCCGTGGCATTCCAAGTTAAAAGGAAAATGTTAGAACTGACAGATGGCCAGGTGATCTTTAAGGTTCCTGAGCCTTCCACCCTTCTGAGGTTGGTAAAATGAGGATCCAGATTGTTGGGAACAATATGCTGAGTCTGTAAACCACTTAGAGAGGGCTGTAAAGCCCTGTGAAGTATATAAATCTAAGTGCTATTGCTATAGCTATTCCAAGTCCCATCAGCCACAGTCAGCATGTGTGATGGCAAGGGCTTATGAAAATTGTACTATGTATGGGATATTAAGTTCCCAGCTCCTGATATCTAGTTGGGTTTGATTAAGGGATGGTGTCATCAAAATACAGTATGTTGAAGTTAGTTCAGAATGTGGGAGGTGAAAACGAGGGACATGTCTCAGCTATTAGAAGGAAGAAACGTCTTTCAGATAAAGATGAAGTCATTGGGACTTCAAACTTTATCCAAACAGTAAATTAAGTTAAATTACATTTCAGTTCTATCCACATACTTTCTGATTTACACGAACAGCTTAGTGGATAGCAAACTGCTGAATCTGATATGTAATGTTATTTCTTGCAGAGTAAATTTTTAAACATGTTTTAAAGATATTTACCCCACCTACAGTGGTGGGATTCAGCCAGTTTGCACCAGTCCGGCAGAACCGGTAGCTAATTTTTTGTTGCCCAGGCTCATATGTTCCCATATTTGAACCCCACCACTGCCCACCTATACACATATGTACGTACGTACGTACGTACGTACATACACAACTCAAGGTGGTCAACATATCCAAAATACCTTTCTCCTGTTTTCTCCAGAACAACCCTATGAGGTGAGTTGGGCTGAGAGAGATTAACTGCCCTAAAGTCACCCATCTGGCTTTCATGCCTAAGGCAGGACTAGAATTCCCAGTCTCCTGGTTTTAGGCCAGCACCTTAATCACTGCACCAGACTAGTTCTCATTGCTAAATAAAAGACAGTAGTTCTTTGGAAAGCAGTAAGTTGCTTGGAAGCTGAAATTCATCATTAATGCATAATAATATAGCATTTCCTTATATAATTCCTTCTGCGAAATGATTGCTGTACAGTTGCTTTCCTATTATATTTACAAAACTTTTTAAAACGGATCCTGGATCCCAACTCATAATTTAATTGCAAGATTAGTGAACAATGAAAAGGAAAGGACTTCAAGAGGAAAGGTTATTATTATTATTATTATTATTATTATTATTATTATTATTATTATTATTATTATTATTATTATTATTATTTCAACCTTCCCTGGAACCTCCAGTAGATCAGGTTGGGGGACGAGTCCGTCCTTTGGGATATGGTAAAGTCTATTTACCGACAGGTCAGAGAAGAATTTTTGAAGGTCACAACCTCGTAAGTGGTGAAGTGGAGGCAGTATATTTTTTTGCAATGAGTGTATTAAAATAAGATCCCCTGCCTTAAAACATCAGTCAGTGACAATTTCAGATGCAAGAATGCCTGTCAGGCTGTAAGTCCCAGGAATAACCTTTTTTTTTAGATTTTAAGAGCTACAAACATTTCACCACTTGACAATCACCAAATCAAATCTGAAACCATTAAAAAATACACACAAGCCATGCTAGTTTAAGTTCATGACACTGAAACATTAACACAATAAAACGAATCTTTTCACTGAAGTATTTCTAAATCAATAAATAGAGCTGTCAGCTGGCTTTTGCAGCTTAATATTTCTCAGATGCATTTGGTGTCCCTGATGATGATTCTGTGTGTTCCCTATAATCTCCCCATCATGGACAATTCAAGTGGTTTGGCTGTGGCTTCCGGCTTCCGCAACTGGGAAGTTTTTTTTACCTACCTGGTTATAGTTTGTAAATATAGGATCCAGCTCTCACCCGTTTGTGTTCCCTAATTGTTTAAACCTAGCTTCCACTGCATATACAGAATTTGAGATCAATGCAATTTACAAAGAAGCATCCCTTAATTCAGATTTTCTCCATGTTGGCAACTTGAAGATGCATAGACTGGTGGCTGGGGAATTCTGGGTGTTCAAATCCACAGGTCTTGAAGTTGCCAATGTTGAGAAACACTGCTATGGTCATTCATCTCCTCCGTTGCTTCCTGTCTTCCTTTAATTCTCAACGATTTCCCCCCACTATTTTAAGTATAGCCATTTCTAAACAATCCCCTTTTGTACAGATATTCCAAAACTGATGGTCCACATATCACCCTTGGAACCCTAGCTTGATGCATACAACTTGTTTATATTAAAAATTCCCATTTTGTTACCTTGGCTGGCTGGTCAAAGGAAGGAATAATCCTTGTGCGATGGTCCTAACACTCCAGATTTCCCTTTCACCAAAATTAGTTCTTTGGTGCTGCTTGCTGGTTAGAGGTGTTTAGAACCCAGAGCGTCCTAAACCTGGTGCCACAAAAAAGATGCAGCCGGAGATGCTGACCAAGTTAAGCTTGTTGAAATCATCTTCCAAGGATGAGCAGTTCTTATTTAGGGGCTACAGCCAATGACATGAGACCAAAGAGCAGAGGAAATTGGATGGACAGGGCAAGTTTTGTCCTGTCAGAGGAGAACACAAACAAGTTGTGTGTTTCAAGCAAGGGGAAGGTGGAGGAGGGGGGAAGTTTTGGTCAGGGGAATCTCATGTTCAGGAAGCAGATTCCAAAATGCAAGCTCATCTGATTTTCAGCAACGGATTATTGATACATGTTTTGTTTCTCAACGTTTCAATTGGCACCTTTGTTATTGTTGTTTTCTAATAAAAGAGCAAGAATTGTTTTGCTCGTGAGATAATCTTCCTCTGTTTTTTTTCCCTCTCTCTCTCTCTCCTTACTTTTTTTTCTTTTCCTTCTGTTCTGGTGTAACGTTAACCCCAATTTAGATTTTAGTGGGATAAAGGGGTGAAAGAAACTACAGAAAAGTACAAACCGCGAGGCCAGTGGCCTTAAAACCTTGTAACTACTAAACATTTCTTACAAGGAGGATTGTAAAGTAGTGCTGAATGGGAATATGGGAAGAAGAGCAGGATTTGAGTGTCTCACCAACATTTTCACCCACATGAAATGGAGAGAAAGAGGCTTGTATGCTAGAAAAGGGCATATCGGTCCATTTCAGATTCCCGTTTTGGCACGTACTTGTAAACTTTCTGCAGATATTTTTATAATGCTCTCTTATGTATCATTTTTTGTCAGGTGTGAAGAATCGGGACCACACAAAAACATTCCAGTTAAATTGATTTATTGCTCATGCCTATATACAAGAAGCTGGTCAACCAGCGATCAGCACTAATTGGTGCTAGATAAGTTAGTAGAATTAAGAGGGGTTGCACAGAGGCTGCTTGTGGGAATGTAATGATTCCAAGGCTGATTCCTCTCGTGACTCTGCCCCAGGCTCTACCACACTTTCTCCTGTATCTTTGTAGGAACTTTCCCCTAATATACTGTATATTTATCCGTATAGTTATATATTGTGATGGACAATTAGGAATTATGATTACTACAACCTTCCTCAAAGGCTGATGCTTCCTCTGCATCATCTTCTAAGGTGTGGACCAAGTCCCAGATTTCACAGTGCAGATCTGGAGAATGTGCAGGCATGAGAAAGCTAGACTAGAACAGAGATAGAAACCAAACAACTCTCCATAATAGAGAAAACTGTAACCAGGTGATTTGAATGTTTGGCTGGCTGCTTAACCTGTTGCTAGTTCAAGAACAGATGTTAGGCACAACCCTAGAGATGACACAAAGAAATCCACTCCAGTTCAATTCTTTATTTGCTTACATCTAGTAGACAGAATCTTGCCAGCGTAAAGCTATGCCTATTAGA